CGGCTGGCTACACGAGTTTCACATGACTCTTTGCATCTTTTTCCACAGTCTATCAAGACATCAACTATATTTTGACTTGTGGTTCTTTTTTGGTCACTCTAACTAGACATTAATTTAACCCAATTCATATAGTATCAGTGCTAAAATCTGCTATCATTACCCTAGACTTAAAGAAAACTACTCCAAAACCTTCTGAGAGTAAACATAATCAGAGTTCATGTTTTATTTTCAGGCTTTTAATGTAAAATTCTTTTTTCATGTCTCTTTCAAGTCTGCTTGAATGAGCTGTGTATTACCAGTTGCTTTCCCATCTGTGTCAATTTAGTCTCTTCGACAAATTCAAATCTGGCCTGAGGAAAAATCAGAGTACTGAAACTACTCCACACTACATTATTAGGTACATTTTGTTAACAGTGTCTCTTTACTTAAACAATAAATCTTGACGGTCTCTAACACCCCCACCAGCAATGTCTTGTGGTGCCTTATGACTTAGACTCACACACTCTGAGTGGTTTCACACCCTTCTCTTTCCACTCATTCCCATCTTCCAACTTTTCACCAGGTGCAAAAGTGAGGTCTTTCCTCTTTAACCTTTAACCTTTCATAATCTCGCTGGACGTAACCTACATGGTCTGTACAGCATATAAACTTGACATGGTTCCTTTCACTTTCAATCTGCCTGACTCTTACCCACCCTGAAAGCATACTGAGAATTTAATGGATAATATAGACACACAAATTTTGTCCCTTAGCCTGTCCCAACAGACTTTAAATGCATGTGTTAATTATCTTGACTTTAAAATCTCACAAAACCAAATCCAGAGAGGAAAAAACTCCCACAAATGTAGCTTGCATTCTGCCACTACCCTTTTGTCAGGATATTGCACATTTTATGCCTATGGTTTAATCTCTTTTATTTTTCAAATTCCTATACAGAATGTGTTACAAAAATGATGAGTCCAGTCATACTTTCGGTTTCACGTGTCGTTTGCTGGATTGGGTTTTTCTTTGGTTTTGTGGGTTTTTTCCCAAACTTTTGTATTCCCACCCCCCTCCCCAATTCTTTTTTTCAGGAAATTTAATTACAGAACTGCCTGTTCCCAAGTAAATAGAAGGTTACACTATGCAAGCAATAAAGATCTCTGTTTAAAATAAACTGTTGGCTAGGTTTGACAAACCTTAAGGGAATAGGAGAGAAAATAAAGTCTGCTGCCCAGATTTTCTTGTTTTACTAGAAATTAGTCTGCAGCTAACATTTTTTTTTTTTGAGTATTCTTGCAAATCCCAAATCTACCATCTGCAAGTCCATTCCAAGTTAGTGTGGGAAAAATTTGCCTGTTTCTGTGTATCAGTTAATACATCAGAAGCACAATCCTAACGTCCCGAACATGCAGAAACCCTGCTGTGCTAGTTGTTCAGCAAATCACAGCACCAACTGTCTGAATGCCCCCTGCAGCACCTGCTGCCAGTATTACCGTTAGGCAAGAATTTATATTGTACTTTTCTTAAACTGGGCTTGTCATCCTGTCTGGGGACTGCTCTCTTCCACAAGCACCCCAAATGTCACTTGTTTAAAAACAAACAAACCAACAAATAAAAACCACCAAGAAGCAAATGCACATGATGAGCATATCAGTTTCTAACCGTGTGCAGGGAAGTAACACATTAAATATGTGTTAGTTCTAACATGTCATGTACATATTTTTAAAAGGTGAAATGACCCTTTTTTTTGTCTGAGTTGGCCTCACACACAGCCAGTGAACTGCTTCATGCCATTACTGGGCAACAGAATGCTGGCTGAACCCACCCCCATGGCAGGGTGTCTCAGCACCACTTGGTGTTATGGCTCTAGTGACACGATCACCGGCTCAGTTCTAACACGAAAGTTGCGAAATTTAAATCACTCTCAAAATTGCTATATATGAATTATTTAGAAAGTTAAGGACAAATTATTCTTTTTTTTTTATTTCAACTACTAACCAATAAGTGTAAAAAAATACCAACAACAAAACAAAAATAAACCCTTTCATCCCCCACATTAAAGCAATAGTTTTTGTAACATTCAAAACAGTGGAAACTATTTACCGTATATTACTATTTAGTGAAGAAAAGCAAATTTAATTTAAAATCATTTTTTTTTCAAACTCCCTCAGTGGATGCCAGATAACCCCAGCTTAAACAAATATAAAAACCTCATTTTAAATGGAGAATAATACAGACAGCGCTCAATTATTGAGATATTATGGGAAACATTCAATTTGAGATACACTTAAGCATCTTTGCCTCCTGGAGATTTTTACATGACAAGGCTTTAGATAAACATGGTTTTGCAAACAGCAACTATGATATCTGATCACATAACCTCTGGACTGAAACACTACGTCAGCAAATATTTCTGATTATTTAATATATTAAATAACTGTCATTTACTAGGCAGGTCTTCCTCAGAACAATCACAATTTTTTTCAAGAATTAATACCCATATACAAAAAGCATTTAGATGATCCGTTACAAATCTCTAAATAAAACAAAACAAAAAAAAATCACCTCTCTGTAATAAAGCCCAGTTTAAATACATTCTGGGACATACCAGTGGTGGAGGAATTGCCTTTTTATGAAACTCAGCTTGCAGGGGAAACTGTAGCAGCCAAGGACATAGAGGGTAGGAATCACCTCACCTAACTTTAACTATCTAGACACTAGACAGCTAATTTAAACTAATCATCTGGGTTCCCTCTACAGGTAATGGAGATAAGCATTCCCAGAGGGAGATTCATCCTGCTTGTCTTAGGTATCTCTCTTTTAGATGCATGTAGATGGATAAAGTCAAGACAGATCAGACGCACTGACAGCCTGATAATCTGTCTTTACCAATGCACAATACCCAAATTCAATGAAATTAAGCCAGAACTGAGATAATTTCTCTGTTTTGTCATTTAGCATTTAATACTCCCTCCAACTCAACTTCTTCTTCAGTTCCTCTCATGAACATCAACTTTCCCTGACACTTTATTTTCCTCACACTGGAATATGTTTTTTCTGGATCCTGGGGAACTGCAACCAATGTCAAGATGTTGCTGCTCTACCAATCCATTTACATGCATGTGCTCTACATTGCAGTAATGTTCTGAAGAGATAGATACTATAGGAGTATTGATAGCAATTGTGCTTTCTGGGTCTACTCTACCACTTTCAAACGTGTAAAAGTCTGTGGCAACATTAAGGCAGTCAAGGTATATAGATGAATGCTAAAATATATTTCCTATTCAAAGAAGATGGCTTAAATCAAACAAGGAAAAATAAGGAAGCAATACCATTAGGGCCCTCACTTTTACATGCGTTGGCCCAGGTCACCACACGTGTTTTGAGGCCTCTGTGCTTCAGAGTATTGAACAAGTCCTAAAGGTGAAACCTGGCCTCAACTCTCTTCCATTTATGGGTTTGTGGGTTCTCAGCAATACCAGCATTGCTGCATCACACCTTTAATCACCAAGCCCTTAGAAACAATAGCCAAGATTTATAAGGAAGCAGGTGTCTGAAATGAGACTCCTAAATTCATAGCTGGGTGCCTAAAGCAGCAGCAAAACTGACAAGCACCCTGTGCAGTTGCCCACAGATGCTCAGCCCAGCAGTGAGGCACTTAGCATTTGTTATAACACAAAACGGATGTTTACTAATTAGGAGCGTTCCAATGGCTATTCGAAGTGCCTTGGCTGAGTGCTTGCGTGCACTAATTTCAATATTGGGCATGCAGTCTACTCTACATCTTACTTCTACAGCATTTCTAGAAAATTAATTTTTATAGTTAGAAAACCATCTTGAGCTGCATACATGAAAATAACTCAATTTCTACTGAATGACAATCTAATACGAGATAAGAATATTCACCTTTTTTTCTTACTCTGCCCAAATCCAGGCAATAAATTAGGCTTCTCAGCATGACTGTAAAGTGCTGTGAATTGTATAAACAATCATATATGGACACTGAAAAATAACCCTTATGCACATTGCATTATAGTTTCAAAAATATATTTACAGTCTGTTACAAAGATTACAAATGGAAGTGTCTATGTAATGGGATTATGCTAGTTAAAAGCTTTTTACAGGTTTTCTTCAACAAAGGCAGAGGGGACAAAAAAATTAGTATAACCAAACTGATTTTTCTAATGAAACAAATAAATAAAATGACAAATATAACACTGTACAATGATCTAAAAAGGGGGAGAAAAAAGGAAGGGGAAAATGATGCATTTAAGTTTTTGATAACTATCTTTGGTCCTAAATGTGGGAAAAGACATTATGTAGCACTGAATATACACGTTTGTTTGTGATGCTCTGCAAGTAAAATAGAAAAATATAGTGCATTTTCAATGTATTCAGAGCTCACTACACATAAGTGTGTATACAAAACAAGACAGTATAAATAAAATTTACAAGTTTTACAAAGGAACATTTACAGGGTTTTTCTTTTGTTTTTATTTTTTTTGTGTGGATGTCCACATTATCAAACAAGACCAATTTATGACTGATCCCTGGGATCTTTCTCTATTAAAATCAATAGAAGCAGCCCAATTCTCTTTGGAAGTACAGCATTTCATTTGCTGGGGTAGTTCAAAATTTTCAGATTTTTCTTAAAGCATTTCTCTCTGGTTCATATACATTCCTGCAATATCCGTAAAGACACTGTTCATTATTGCTTATGGTAGTTAAATATTTTAATCAAACAAAATTCATATATAAGTAAACGGTGTAAAAAGATATTCCATTGAGCAACTACTCTGGCATCTGTGTTCCTGACGAATGACTCCTGTGTCTGTGTTAGCACGCATACACATGTTTGTTCAGAGCAGCAAAAACTTGTAAAAAACTTGAAAATTTTGAACTGCCCCTTGCCTCATGCTCTACAGTTCTCATATAAAATCTATGTCCTTATTCTGATAGCTGGACTGCATACGGCTTAAACTCATATAAAATATATGCCAGCTATTTCTCTCAGATTTGCTTATGCAGAGTATTGAAAAAAAAGTGATGTGCTCAGATTAAATGGTTTAGGTAACACTGGAGAACTGCACTCATGTTCTGAGACATTCCTACAATCATTTGTCCATACAATGCAGTGTCTCAGCACGTTTACAGTTGCAGATCTACAGCTTAGAATATAACTCACTTTAACTCTAGTCCATTAAAATCATCTTGCAAACAATTTGCTAAAAGTGCCTAGAACTACTTAAGGGTCATTATTGCTTTTCTTTTTTCTTTTCTTTTTTTTTTCCTCTTTTATTTTCTTTTAAAAGATAGTATATGTGTAACCTTAAAAAATTCTTTAAAAAATATCAGAGCTCTTGGCAACTTGCATTTTCCTGACTCCCTGCCAATTAGCTAGCCATGTCAATATGGTGCTGATTTAACAAAAGTAAGTGGCACAAAAGGATACCAAAGTTCGGACAAATATACATTGCTTGGTCATGCTTCTTAAATCTCTAGGAACTCAGATAATCCTTCAGAGGTACCCAGTGTAGTAATGTGTCAAAGAATTAGCACTAAAAAGGTCCAAAGATATAAACATCATACTAAAAGAAAGTCTTTATGAAGAATAAACACAAATGATTAAAAAAAGATTCAGAAATCACAGATTTAAGGAAAATATTTTGTTGAATTCAACAATAATATCATGATTTTATCTGACAAATATATTCTTTTTTAAATTTTTATGTACATTTAAAAAGTCTATTAGATAAAAAGGAGGTTAGAGAGCTCAAGGTGTTTGTATGTTTATTCAGGTAGTACTTTGTTTATTGTCACTGCTGTTTTCCTTGCCACCACTGGTGGATCCTAATTCCCTTTTCATAAATTCTGGTGGCACTTAGGAGTTCAAGTCTGTAGGTGCTTCTTGTAGCTCTTCTATTCACTGCAGGAAGGACCCAGGAAATCAAGTGTCTTCTAGCAGCACTTCATATATACTGAAGGCCAGTGCTGTTCTCTCAGTCTGTCACCTCCCTCATAAGGGAGAAATGTCTATCACACTTGGATGCCAGTGCCGTGTAAATGTAGCATTTGTGCTCTCATAGTCTGAATGCTGCTCATGATTTTCTTTTGATGACCAACCAACGTGATCCCTAAACTCATCACATCCCTGGGGAAGATAAATGCGTACATTGTTAATTTTTCAACTTAGACTGCTATTGTATGGTATTCAACTGTGAGTCAAAGCTACGTAGTGGTCTGGGCTACAGGTTTCTAACATTGAAGCTACACTGGAACCTCAGCTCATTACTGTGAAGCTGATACAGGCGCTGTTCAACTTCTCAGTGAGGAGTGCAATTACACAGCAAGTGTCATGTAATAACACTGCATGTGTCTCTACGTCTGAGAATGAGCCCAGTATGTTTTGCACTATGATAATCTTTTATTGTGGCTTTTAAGGACACCTGAAGAAAGAGACACTTCTCTTGTAAAATACTTGGGGTGGCTTTCAGGACAAAGTTATGTATAAATACAAGATTTTGGGGATCACATTCTGCTTCCAAGAGATGCCTAGAGAAACCCTCTGCATATTGGCCCACGCCCATCATGCAAATACAAGAGGAGCAGCTGTTTCCATTCCACTGCACCTAGTGCTACTGACCTAGTAGAAGTTTGTGGGCTCTGGTGACAGTTTCCAAGCTACATGCTGAGACCGCTAGTGCTACTAAGCAGACAAGAGTAGGGTTGCAAACTTGAGAATATTGTTTAGAAACTTGTTTAGAAAAACATTGCTCTCTGTAAGAGGAATTACATGTGAGTGGCAACCACCAGGAGAAGAACGTTGTTTGCAGGGTGCCAATAAGACCTGTTTAAGATGGCAGTACCAATACATGCCATGCTTGCCTTCAGAAAATTGTTTTGCTTCTATAGACTTTTATCCTGACGTGAAGTCATTTCTTGCAGGATGCAGACAGCCCCCAGCCAATTAGAAGAAAAATACACATCTTCCTAGTACATGTCCGGAAAAAGGTACCAATTAGGTAGTGGAGGAAAAGTGATTATTTTCCTATATATACGCACTTTGAAATGGGCCACATTCTCCCTCAAATTCTAGCCCCTTAGTGTTATTTCATTTGGTCTCAAAAGCAGGGAAAAAAGTGATGCCACACATAGGTAGCAAGGTATTTGCCCTTTCATTGGATGCTCTAGTACATCATCAGTTGCTTAACCTTCTGACTTAACCCCAAGTACCATGTTTGTACACAGGGTGAAGTTTTGGAATTGAACATTATGTATTATTTTACCTAGAAATTCCCTAAATGCAAGTTAAACATGCCCAGTACTAACTTACTCAATAGTCATCCTGGCAACTGATTCAAGAGAGTTGTAGCCTGCTGCTGTGAAATTATCCTTATATCTTTCCATCTTAATAGCTTGTAACCATTCGCCTACGGAGCAGAAAGTGGTAAAATCGGGAGTGTTCTGGTCCAGAAGAGGGCTAATTGGTCTACGGAGAAGGAAAAAGGAAAGTAAGTTGTTTCCAAAGAGAGTAAAACATCAGGGAGTATTTAGCAAGGTGAGAGTCAAATAAGTTTGGGGTATTAAAAATGTCAAGAAAAGAAAGTAATAGGCCTTTATACCCAGTTTAGATTATTCTGTGAATAGCTCTTGACTACTCTGTAGCTCACAGTATGTATGTTCTAGGTTTATACACGTAAAAGATGAAAGGTCAAAGTGAGCAAAATCAGCCTAATGGACTATTGTTACTAACAGAAAATCAACCTTATTACTTAGCATGACAGCACCTGCAACTAAAGTTGCTAGGTAAAATAAAGATGCTATTCTTTTAAGCATCTTAGAAAAAACAGTAGTATTCAATCGGATGGGACAAAACAAAGACAAAGAAAGAGCAGAGACACAAAGTTGCTTAAGGTCACACAGCAAATCAGTCAGTAGAAGAACCGGGAGCAGAACACAGGCCAGTTGATTCCCTAGTGCAGTGATCTAGCTAGCAGATCAAAAGGTTACCATGATTAAATAATTCACTTGAAATTTATGAAGAAGCCATTAAAAACTACACCATGAAACACAATGAGATGCAATCACTGAGAGGAGTTAAAGCCAGAAAATGAAAGATAAAAATCTAGAGTGTAGCAATGTCAGAGTATGTTGGCCAAGCATATTATTAATTACTATTTCTACTGTTCCTAGGGCAAGGGATGCATCATATAAAACTACAGTAGCTGATGATCCTTGCCTGCAGACTTAATAATTTTAAGAAACAAGGAAAACAAGGACTACTAGTGGTGAGAGTGTCCAAGCAGGCAGTAGCTTACTGAGAAGTGTGTTAGTTCCATGATTTTTATTTTCTTTAGTTTGGTATCTTTTAAGAAAGTCCTTTTTGGTTTTGTTCATCAAGGTAAAAAGAAGGGCAAATGAGGGAAGGGAAGAACAGGGAGCAGGAGGAAGAAGGAACTGAGAGACACATGGAGTAAGTGTGAACTGGAGCCAGCCACCAAGCAGAACATCCAGAACCCAGCCACGCACACTGTCATACGGACATACACTAAAGCTTTTCTTACCTGCTACAGGTTCCCAGTGGGGTTTTCAAGCTGTTTGGATTTCTAATCATTTTGTCCAGAATACCAACTATCTGCTCAAACTTTGGCCTTTCACCACGTTCCTTCTGCCAACAATCTAGCATCAGCTGGTGCAGTCCTGCTGGGCAATCCATGGGTGCTGGCAAACGATAGCCTTCTTCAATTGCTTTTATAACCTAGTAGCCAACATAGTTAATCATTTTTCATCAAGGGATATTTAAGAAATACATATTTCTACACGGTTCAAGAAATAAAATAAAGGGGAAAAAATCAATAAACTAACATTTGTCATCAGTGTTGCAAAAATAGGAATCTGTTGTTTTGACTCTAGCCTTCATGTTTTCAAATAATTTCCCTGACTTTATCTTTGGTCTTATTAAGCATATTGTTCTATATGTGCAGAATATAGCGATATTACCTAGTCAAGTGAGTGGTTGGGAACAACAATTACATTCACCAAGGGAGCAACAGATAGATTGATAAATGGAGTTTCTTCAGAAAGCATTATTACTTGCCCCAAGGCTTTTATAAAAGAGTGTGTGGTAGAAGCAACTGACTTGTAAATGGATAGGGATCTGTGCGTGCACATATAAAACACAAAGTCTGAAGATATTATAAAAGGATCCAAGAAAAAGGATCAGCAGACAGAAATTTTTAGGGAAAAAAGTTGTATTCTATGTCTAGCCATATTACATTAATGATGAAGTAGCAGAAATATGCCACATGAGAAAGGAAGACCTGGCTGAAAGGTATTTTAATATATTACCTAAACAGGAAGTTAGATTTAGCAAGAGATGCTGCTAGATGATGGTATGATTGAAGGAGAGCATAAATGTCTGAACCAAGAACTACATACACTCATTGACTTCCTTAGCCAGGTCCATTTGGATTTAAGTAAAAAATAAAAATGAGTAAAAAGTAAAATCACAGGAAACTGCTGTAAACCTTGAGGGCAGGATAAGAAAGCACATCAGGAAGCTAGGCAGATAAGAAAGTCTTGTGAAAAAGGGCTAAAACACTGTCCATGAAGGATTTCAAGTATAGTGACACTGACTGACATAGCAGTATTAGAATTGCTAAGGAAGGGTGCTTGCTCCTGAAGGGTAGTGCACAGGACTTTCTCCCTTGGTTTGTACAGCAAACAAGATCAGAAGCTGTTCCGGACTTAGCCCTAGGAAGTAGATCTGGTATGATAAATAAAGATGGTGAATATCCAGGGCTTAGTGAAAATAATTACCTCAAATAAAAAATATTCCATAGGTTGTGTGAGAAAATGCAAAAGCAGTGGACTGCAAAGTAGACAGAAATGCAAAGAATACAAATGACCTCCAAAAAGCTGACTGAAATCCACAATTGTATCAAAACGTTTTTCAGAAAAGAAGCTTTGTGAAAAGAGGAGGTACAGCCCAGTGGTAGGGCACTTACTGCAGGTGTGTGTCACAGACTGTCCTTCTGACCTCAGGGAAGTTGTCTCATCTCCCTGGGCCTCAGCTTTCTATCTGAACATTTAGAATGACAGTACTGCCCTACAATTCAAAAATGACCGAGAAATATTCAATTCCTGCAGTAACTCCACACCTTGAAGAATGAGTGCAGTGACCTTTCAGAGACACGGAAGTTATCTGTCAGACAGGGTGCACAGAGAGGATTTCTGCAGAACAGGGAAATTGGAAGAACAGTACAACATAGGAAAGAAAACATTAAAAGTAAAATGTAAGATGTCTTAGAGCGGTATTAAGAGGAAAAACAAAAGAACAGCTCCTTACACTTAGAAGCAGCAGTTGAATAAAAGTGAAAAATAAGCTACAGTGTGTATAGGACAACTGGTGTGGTATGAAAAGTAATGCAGAAATTTCTGACCTTCTAAAAGGTACGTGATTACCTTTGTGCTTACTACATACGACTTACTACAAACAAAGCCGTTGCTTAAGAGATCAGAACACAGAGACAACCAATGAGGAATGAAAAATTGGGTAACAGCAACAGCAACACAACTGCGAAATTATCTAAGACCCTTAGAACTGGCAAACCATCTAGATAAGATTATTCCAAAGAGCATGAGGGATAGTGAATGAAAGGATCATGAACAGGACCTTTCCATGTTCACTACAATCTGCAGAAAAACCTGAAGTAGGAATCAAGATGATGATATTGTTTTTAAAAGGCTCTGGGGATATCACAGAATCAGCTTAAAGAAGCTGATGTGTATTCTGAGCAAGAAGGATGAAAGTGGGAAATACAAAATTATGAGTTAGCTAGAGATGGATGGAATTGCTGGGAATATCCAAAATATTGAAAAAAACAGTCTAAAATATTGATAAGTGGGGATTTTTTTTGTTTTAAAAAAATGTTTATACAAAACTTGGAAGCTTTGAAGGGCACTATCAGTTCCTACTCTGCTAAGAAAGTGGGGGTAGGGTTCCAAAAATCAGTACTCAGAGATAAAGAAATAGATGCAGGAATTTTTTTTTTTTTTTTTTTTTTTTTTTTATAAACTAAGCTACAAAGAGAACACAGCTGGAGTTCCTACTAATAGAATTGATTTATATTATTTACACTTCCCAAAATGTGTTTTTCAAATTCTGCTTTTGCTGCAAAAAGAGAAAAAGGGAATACAGTTAAGAGTCAGGTATGCTTTTACCATAATCAGGCTATCTGAGGATGGAAAGCAGATTAGAAGAGGGCTAGGTCTGTTGACTGTAAATACTGGTTGCCAACAAAGAAATATTAAATACAGGTAGCCGAACAATGTAATGTTATTGCTTCTGGATATATAGTAATACTACAAATTAATAATCATAATAATGGCAATAAATCCAGGAGTACAGCAAAGAAAAAGTATGTGAACCTAAACTCTTGATCTTTTCTGAAGAACTAATGTGCAGTAGGGTCAGTAACCGAATGAGAGCAAGAAATAGCAAACACCAGCAGTCTAATAGGGAAATAGAGCAAAATGCAGCAGTTTGAGGGCTACTGTTACCAGTAAGGATTAAACTGAGGGGAGTTCACTGCTCAAAGAAGTTGGGGGGACTCTGTGTATGATCTTTGTTCGGCCCGCTGTGCCTCTGTGGGGAGCTGGTACGATGAGTATTCTTCTGGTGCACGCTAGCTTCAGGTTGTTGCTAAAAGGAGGATTTTTGCTTAAAAAGAGATAGCAACACAAATTTGTCTCCTCTGTCAATCTAAAAGAAGGGCTTCAAGGAAGAGGGACAGAATTAAGGAAATGCCATCTAAAGATCCAAAGTAAGGGAGAATATTTTTTAGGAGATCTGCTCTGGTCTATGACTATACCCACATCCACTTAAGATATACAAACTTGCCGTAGTGTGTATGCAAAATCAGAAGAAACACATTTAGCATTTTATATTCCAGTTAAATATTCCCATTGGTAACTGTGAAGGAGGATAACTAATCATAAGATGATTTTAAATTTTTGCATCATAGATTTATCTATGGGATTGGTAAATGTTTCGGGACACACTTGAAGACGTCAGCATACAAGAATATTTGAAATAATTTTACCAAGCAATTGATGCATCATTTAGCTATGTGCTATAGAAGATGATTATGTAATTTGCTAAAAAGAGATGAAACTGCAAGAAGCGGTAATTAGCTGTTTTACGAAAAAGGTTCAGTCATGCACTTCACTCGCAGTTTTCAACAGAGGGAATACTTTTCAAAATCCAACAAGAAGCATGAAGATACCAAAATTTCTCTCCTATTTAAAAGTTTTTCCTCATTGTTCCCTGAAAGATAGGTAAGGTTTGCCTTGGAGGCATCTTATATTCCTGTCAGACTTCTTTTATGTTTGAATCTAGTACAGAAGGAAGGTGTCAAAAGAAATGAAACTCTACTGGGTGTCTAGGGAATGTAAATATTTCTCCTTCTCTGCTCCAAGGACTTGTTTGCCCATATTTTGACAGTCCATGAAATCTTTGACACTGAGACCTGTCAAATATTAACAACTTTGCACTGTGCCAAACTGACTCATCATTTACTCTTTTATCTTTTTTTTTTCAGCTTTGATGTCGATCATTCAATCAAAAAATAAGATAATAATAACAAAACCACTCAAGCCCCCGACCTGAAGAACTTTAAATGAGACTATTTCTGACATCCTTCTGCATGGCTTTTTTCCGGTGTACTTCTATATTAATAGATACTCTTGTCAGAAATCAAGATTAACACCCATCTGTTCTATTACTGCTGACCTGTTGCTCTGAGTCATATTTTATGCAAACAAGGGTATTGTTAAATCAGCATAATTAACTTGAAAAAGTCAAAGTAGGTCATTAACTGCCACTCAGGTTTTTAACAACTTTTTTCAACTGATTAATCATTGCTCTGAGGTCAGAAACCTCAGAATTATTTTTTATTGGAAAAAGATTAATTCTTTCTATGCTTAAGCATAATAAAGTGAAGAGCACATATAATTACTTTTGATGTTCCAATTTTACTTGATACTTGGGACAGAAACCTACAACATCCACAAGGCAGAAGAACGATCTAGAGATTTAGGTCAAAAGGGAAAACTTTTTAATTTTGTGACAACCCTACAGTATTTTGAGAAACCTTATTTCTAAACCAACATTTTATGCATATGTAGTGAAACACAAATGTGTGTGTTTACAATATGTAATTTTTGTTTTTCTAACAGACACTCGCAAACAGACAAACTATAACCTACATCCTGATTTGACATGTCCCAATAAGGCCGTTCTCCATAAGACATTACTTCCCACATAACTATTCCATAACTCCATACATCGCTGGCTGATGTAAATTTACGGTACTGGATGGCCTCCGGAGCCGTCCATCTCACTGGGATTTTTCCACCCTATGAAAAAAAAAAAGAAAATAAGAAAGTTTTATATTTTCTCCACAAAATTTTCATATCATCTTCCATAGAGTGCATTTATAATTATTTCTACCAACATCAGAAGCAGCACTTTCATATATACAGTTAAATATATATAGTTATACATATAT